TGCATATTTAATATCCTGGAGGAGTATTTTCCCTGGCAAACACTCCGGCTGAGACTCACAGCCTTTGTAGACCATCAGGCCGTGATACTGTCTTCTGGTGGCTCATTGGACAGGCACTTGCCCACTAGTTTTTAACTAGGTCCTTAGAGGGGAATTTACAAAGGAATCAGCCTGTAATTACAGCTCATGATTACAAAGCAAGCCCTGTCTGATTGGGCTGGGACGAATTTCTATTACAGGAGGAGCCGAGTCATCGGCCTTGCAAGCACGTATTGTACCTTTATTAAAATTCACAATTTTGATATCAATAACCGGCTTCTCCCTCTTGCAGGGTGATCTTGTATGCCAATCTCCACCACCATTTGTAAACATGGAGGTATTAAAGTCTCCCACTTCTGAAAGAGCCCTGGTGGCACAGCGCATGAGGGACTGGGTTGCTAAACAAAAGGCTGGTGGTCAAGTCCAGCAGCCCCTCCAATAGAGAAAGAGGAGGCAGTTTTTTGCACACACATTTACAGCTGTGGGAGCCCCTGGAAGGTGCCAGGAGGCAGAGTCGACTGACAGCAGCTGTCAGGTGCCAACAAGCTGAGTACAACTCACAGAAACCTACAAACAGCAGATCTGCCCCGTGTCCTGTCCTGTGCCGTCCACGTCGCCTCTGGCACGCTTGAGCTGACTGCTGTAGTTACTGTGCCGTTCTGTCTGCTTGAGGGTCTTCCTCTCTTTTGCTGACTCACCTTTCCAAGCATGAAATCCCTCTCCAAGAAACAGCTTCTTGTGACAACATGCTCAAAAAAACGTGAGACAACGCTTTGCCATTTTTGCCCACAAGGAGCACTCAGGCTTCCTTTTCTTCAAGACACACCTGTTTGTTCTTTTGGCGGTCCATGGGGTGTTCAGTGCTCTTCTCCAACTCCACAGCTCAAAGGCATCAATTCTTCTGTCATTCTAATTCATTGTCCAGCTTTCATATACATCATATGTGATTAAAAAGACCATGGTCTGTGTTAAGTGCACCTTAGTCCTCAAACTGACACCATTACTCCTCAGTAAATCAGAGAGGTTACTGACAGTGGTCTTTCTCAGTGCAATATGCCTTTTCATCTCCTGACTGCTAGCACGGTGGGCGTTGTTGTGGATCCAAACAAGATGAAATCATTGTCAATTTCAATCTTTTCTCCATCATGATGTTGCCTATTGGCTCCGTGCTGAGGATTTTTTCTTTTCTTTTTTTCCTACTAGTTTATTTACAAAATTCCAATACAAATTTGAACAGATTCAGTTTCCCTCATCTCTCCATCCATCAGATATACAACCCAATGACTAATCCCCTCTTCCCCCTGTACATCCACATCCTCTGCTTCCAGCCTCTCCATCTCTCCTGGATCTTTATACTCATTCTACAATAACGGTTTTATGCTCTCAGACCAAAGTCTTATAACAAAACTTTACAGAATACTCCTGGGCCTCCACAAGAAAAAGACTGACAACCCAATTACAAAATGGGCAAAAGACTTGGAAAGAATTTTCACAGAGGAAGATATATGAATGGCAAACAGACACATGAAGAAATGCTCCAAATCACTGGCAATAAGAGAGATGCAAATCAAAACCACAGTGAGGTACCATCTCACTCCAGCAACAGTGGTGAAGTTTAACAGGGAAGCAAGTAATAGATGTTGGAGAGGATGTGGCAAGAAAGGATTTTTGTTTTCTTGTTGTTGACCTGGAATCCATACTAACGGCTCTAGGCCTTGTATAAACAGTGGGCTTAAAAAAAAAAATTAAAAAATATTTAAAAAAAAACCCAAACCAAAAAACCAAACCCGTGGGCTTGATTTCTACAGTTCTACGTCTAAAATCTCCACTGGAAGCTTGTCCTTGGTGGTACGCAGGGGAGCTACCTCGCAGGTAGGGCCTCCAGGTAGTTACGTTCTCCTGAGGGCCAGGAGCTCCTCTTCCCCACGACAGTGCATCTGGGGATCTGCTCCAAAGCCCTGACGGTCTGCTCCGATACCCAGCTCTGCAGCAGGGCAGGGACGGAATTCTAATATTTTATCTTGAACACTTATATGGTGTATCAAAAAGTAGAAGAAAATAAGTCCTTTAAAGAAGTGTGTGGATGGGGCCATTGTGGCTTTGGTAGAATTCTTACCTTCTACATAGGAGGCCTGAGTTCTGTTCTGGCCAATGGATCTCATGCAGGCTCTCGTGTCTGTCAGTGGAGGCTTGTGAGTTACTAGGATGCTGACCGGGTGTCCATCGAGGTGCCTGACCGTGGCGGACCAGGAGGAAAGGCCTGGAGAGCTACTTCTGAAAGCCAGTCAGTGGGTACTCTGCGGAGGACAGTGATGGATCCTTACAAAGCACAGGATGGTACAGGACCGGCAGAACTCCTTCCCTCCTTTATGAGGCTGCTGGAGCTGGCGCTGACTCCATGGTGGCTGTGGTAAAACATGGGGTGTAAGGGAACCATGGGATGAGAACCGAGGATGAGGACGGGCAGACCCAGCTGAGGGAAGAGGGAACTTCTGGGTGAGCAGGACGTAGCAGTGAATGTCCTGAGATGGGACTGGGGGGATGCAGTGTGTATTTCCCTCAGGATAATTCTGGGGCATCTCTATGGCCTTATGTTGGGTTCTAGGATGAGGTGGGAGCTGGGCAGTGTGAAAGAGGGTACAGGAAAGGGCACTTTCCCTGAGAGGGTCAGGTGGGCTTGGTGGGGAGACCCTGTGGTGAGGTCTAGATGGAGGAGCAGGAAGTGGGCCCCTGGGGCTGGGTCAAGAGAGGTCACCAAGTTCAGACAGCCTGTGCCAGGCAAATGGCTGTGCGTGCAGGGACTTCTCGGTGGTTCCTGATGGGTCCACCCTGTGCTGCAGTCACGGTTCCAAGGGCCACCGAGAGGGTTGGGAGGCCTGACTGCAGTCCTTGGCATCTGAGCACCACATCTCCCAGCTCCGAGTCAGCGCCTCCAGGTGTGCCCAGAGCCCTCCGTTGTCCCTCCCCGCACTGCCCCACCGAAGGCTCACCTTCACCCTGGCTAGCCCTGTGCTTCCTGTGGTCAGCCAGGAGTGGAGCTCAGGACACCTCCATAGCAGAGCTGGGCCTGGCCTCCATGGGCCCACAGCTGCCCCTCTTCAACCACTCACCTTGTCAGCGGCAGAGCAGCTGATTCTCAGCTGGTGCCTCACGTGTGTGCGCCCAGCACCATGAGGAAAGGCTGTGCTGTGCAGCTCCAGGAAGGGCCAGCAGCCCCGCCCGGGACTGGCCTGCACTCTCCCATGGCGCAGACTGGATCCTTCCAGATGAACAGGCTCCGGGGCTCACGAGCTCAGGGCAGCTGGTGGGACAGCAAGCCCCCTGCACTGGGGCACTGAGGCAGCCTGTGCCCCAGCTGCAGAGGGAGGAGCAGGGGTGGGTGTCCTGTCATAGTCTGTGCCCCCCTCTCGGACTGTCCTCTGCAGAAGTGGGGTCAGGGAGAACCATATGGACCTGCTTCCTCTCTGTCCAGCACAAATCCCAGGGATTCCGGGAGATTCTGGACTCTGAGATACGGTGTCTCCAGCAAGGCCTTGGATGGCTGATGGCAGTGCCCGGCTGGGCACTGAGGGTCTTTCCAGGTGGACAGGTCTTGCCTTCTCCCCATCTGAGGGCTGCAGACCTAGGTGAGCTGACTGGGGCGGCAGGGGGCAGGATTGCTCACAGACCCTCAGCAGATGTCCACCCCGGGCCTCATCTACCCACCCAGGTTCCGCGAGCTGGCTGCTGGGGACAGCTGAAGGCAGAGGTGAGGGGCTTCCGGACTGCAGTACTGGGGACACCTGGCAGCACCCTGGACTCTGAGGGTAGGGTACCTTGGAGCCTGACTCACACGGACGCCCAAGTGTAAAGCAGGCCTGGGTTCCACTGGGTTCCCAGAGGCTGCCTTTTCATAAGCAGATCCCAGGCCTCCTTTCCAAGGCGCTCCTGGTGGGTATGACCCTCCTCTGGGTGAACAGGTGATTGTTAACCACTGCCCCACCCAGCGACACCTGGGGTCTCCTACTGGGACAAGAATTCCCAAGCCGAGGGTGGGCCTCTGAATCTGGGGGGGAGGGGGCTGGATGGAGACCCCTTTTTGCTCCCCCAGGAAAGACCATTATTCCTCTTCTGAAAGGACCACCCACACTCTTGAAGGATCTAGAAGCTTCCAACCCATTCAAAACCCTCAGAAATGACAAAGGACCCAAAACCATCTCCTAATATTTTTATTGTTCCTTAGATAACTGGACAGTACAAAGCTTTCCTCTTTGTTGAAATGTTACTTAAAAAGTGTACTCTCCACACGCCGTCGCCCTCGCGAGCACGCGCTCCCAGCGGAAGCCAGCGCCCCCCCCAGACCCTTCCCACCCACGCGCCTTCGTCAGGTCATTCAAGGAGAGTCATGTCTTTGAGTATTATCCACGGGAGCTCGGTTATGTTTCTATAAGGGCGAACACTGATTTATTGATTTATTTTCTTTTTAGGAACAAAACCATCCCCATACCAATCCAAACTACGGCATTACAGTATCAACTGACGGACGGAGTCACCACCTCGAGGGAACAATGGACAGACACGGCACACAATATCTACTGAAAGGCAAGTTCAAACGACGTGGGCACAACAATTCATTACACACTCCGACCATCGGCTCACTAATCACTACTACACAGGTCCGGGAGCTACTGGGAGCCTGGGCACAGTTCATCTGAGAGAGACGACAGCCGAGAACAGGGACAGGGTGGGGCGTGAGCTACACTACTACGTGGACCCGGCCGGCCCCTCCGGCCCTGCCCACACCTGGCGGGCTGACCGCGGCTATGAGCTGACCATGCGCCCTAACAGTGGGTTGTCCTCGGTGGGGGAGAACTGGCCAACAGTCGCTGCCTTGGCTCTTCAGTCTGTGTGACAGGGTGGGGACGGGGCAGGGGGCAGCGACGCTTGTGGAACTGCAGTTCCAGCTGCAAACACGGAGTCTCTTCCCAAGTCGGCTGCCGGCTGAAGTGGAGGGACGCGGAGGGAAGGCCGGGACCGGCTGATGACTCGCACGATTAGGTTGGGAGTAGGAGGTTGGCAGCTGTGTCACGGGGAGCCTCGTCGTGGGGGAGGCCTGGCCCTTGGTCTCCGGGCGGAGGGACTACAACTCGTCAGACCGGATGACGTGGAAGAGGGTGACGTTGTAGAGGATCTGGTGGCCGTTGTTCCACGCGTAGAGCGCGCGGTCCTTGGGGTTGTAGTCCAACATGGAGATGTGCGAGTACTTGTTCTGGAAGGGGATGTCTATGTATTCGTAGGTGGAGGCGTTGGTCTGGTAGGCGTAGTGGACCTTGGTGCCCCCTGAGTAGCCGTTGGTGACGTAGAGCGTCCCGCAGATGATGAAGGCCTCGCCCGCACTGCGCTTGGGGTAGCTGGTGTTCCAGGTGTGCAGGGTCTGCAGGGACACGGGGTCCAGCTTGCTGAGGACGATGTTGCCGGCGTTCTGGTTGGTGGCGTACACGGCCCACAGCCCGTTCTCGTCCACCATGAGGTCGATGTCCGAGTGGCCACCCCATGCGTAGTGGTACATGTTGTTGTAGCCGGCGTAGTCCAGGCTCCGCGACTTGAGGATGCTCTCCGTCTTCAAGTCGAAGCGGATGATGATGTGGCTTTGGAACTTGTTGAAGTAGATGGAGCCGTTGTAGACCACCTGCCCGGTGCCGGACCAGGGGTGGGGCAGGCGGTGTGAGGTGAAGTTGTCCGTGTTCATGAAGTCACTCATGGACCGGTACTCGCGGACAAAGCGGTTGTTGTGGTAACCATCCATGTACCAAACCTGGGGGAAGAAGGGACCCCGTTAGCGCAGACAGAGAGCCACAGCCACATCCCCAGGGGTGGGGTGGGGTCTCTCCACACACAGGGGACCCGAGCGTTCCACACCCTGGATGCTTGAGAAGCAGCCCAGAGGACCAGGTGGCACAGTCCTGGGAGCACGGCGTCACAGCCATGGAGCGCCGCGCGGAGGGGATGCAGTCCTGCTCACCAGAGAAACAACCGCCCAGTTTGCACAGAGGCAGGGGTAGGGGGTGGGGGGACACACGACCCAGTAGCCTGTTCTGTTTGTTTTCAGGGTGAAAACACACACTCCGACAACCACTTTTCCACGTACAATTCAAAGACATTGCTTAGTGTTTTTTCAGGCCAGGCGGTGAGTCTCGCCTCTTTCTCTAAACCACCCACCACCTTAAAGCAAAACCAAGGCTCAGACTCAACCACCGCGTCCAGTCCCTGGTGACCTGCAGCGACCCTCCCTCCAGTGTCCAACGCTGGAAATCTTTACAGGAAGACACTGCTTCTCTTCCCCCTGCAGCTGGATTCAAACTGTTGACCTTTTAGTTAGTGCAATAACAAAGCTCCACACCCTCAGAGCCGCTCCAAGATAAACGCCCTGCCCCCTAAACAGCTCACCTGACCAGCCAGGTCTGACCTGACACAGGACGGAGGGCAGTTCTCTGCTGAAACAGACTGACAGCAGCTGGTGCAGCTTCTAGTTTATGAACTACGCTGTCGTCAGCTGCCTTGGAGCGGGGCCTGCGCACAGCAGGCGGGCCGGGCACAGAGACGGCCGGATGCAGGCCTCAGGCTGACTCCAAGCTGACCTCCTCTGGGCGTCCGAGCTGTAGGTCACCCGGGAGGAGACGGTCTGTCGAACCTCCAGAGCAGCATCTCGGGGTGAGCAGTGCAATCGCCCCTGACCACACTACCTGAGCTCCAGCCCAGTAACCGCAGGCCCCCCAAATTCCCAGAATACTGAAGCCGACTGGCGGTTTAAACAGGGCTTTGGGGCACAGATTCGGTTTAAGATGGAAAGCTGTTTGGGGGCAGTATTTGGGGTTCATGGCTGTCTGCAGGGTTGCCACCACAATGGGCTAGAAAAGCACAACAGAGCCCCCCCAAGTCCTCCACCTGGGCCCTTGTGGGCGGTGATCAGGGGCCACACTTGTGCGTACGGCTGTGTCCCTGCACCAGAGGCTGGCCTTTGGGACACCCAACTGAATGCTCAGTCCCACTGACGCAGGGCCTTGTCCACCCAGGAGGAACCTGCCTTCCATAAGGTTGTGGAAACCCCCACCATGCGCAGAGGGGCCCAAGCGTGGGGCTACAGAGGGAGAAATTGCCAATTATGGCGTAAATGGTCGTTGACTTGAAAGCTGTCTAGACGTTTTACAAAACGCTTTAGTCATTTTCCACCAATATGGGAGCAAATTAGAAGGCAGCGCAGCCGGTCGGCGCGCATCTGTCTGGCAGCGAGACAGCTGCTCGATCCATCAAGGCTGCAGAGCATCGGGAGATTAAGGCCGGCTGGTCCAGCCGAGGCCTCGCACACGCGTGGAAAATGAAAAGCAATTATAACCTTGGTGCAGAGACGCCTACCAGGCGCCGAGGTAGAGACGGGTTGTAGCCCTGTCTCCACTTTGTGTTTTTGTTTATGGAGCTGGGTGTAGCTGAAGCTTTTATACGAGGCAGCCCACAGGCCAGCCCTCAAGAATGTGGGACACGCAGTGCCAGGTGGGTCCAGGGGACCAGTGCTGTGTGCTGGTGACCCGCCAGCCTCTGCTCGACTGTCTCCTGAGACAGAGAACTCACTGCCCGCTTCTCAGCTTAGAGGATGCTCCCTGCTCCTCCGACTCTCCACCCAGCAGCCCTGCCCGTCCCCGTTCATCGGACATGTGACTTTGGTACAGGGTTTTAAAACCTGCCTACGTGATTATAATGGACAGTAGACTTGAAAACCACAGCTCCAGCTAGAGAGAACCATTATCAGCGCACAGAGAGCAAGTGGCTGGCCAGCTCTGCCTGCCCAAGGGACAGAGATTCACGTTCAAACGGAGCCTTTGAAACCAGAACCCAGCAGTGCAGGCTGCCGGCCTGTCCACAGTGCTGAGGCCACACAGCCAAGCTGGCCCAGGTGAGAGCTCCTCCTCACTCTCCCCACCACTGCCATCTGCCTTCGGCCAGGGAGGGCAGCTCAATGAAGGGCAGAGCCCGCGGGGCACTGGCCCAACCACACAAATGCAGGGATGAGTCTGGGAGTGGCTTTGCTCAGCTGCTTGGGCAGGGAATTCGGTCTTGGCTTTGGCTCAGAGAGCATCTGTCACCATCCCCCTGATGGAATCACCAACGTCAGGAGATGGTGACACGTGGAAGGAAGCAGCTAGCTGGACAAGGGGAGAGGAGAGGCAAGAAGCAGCTCCGGGCTCGGGATTAGATGTATGGATGCTAATGGGGATGGGCCATGCCATCCCCTCCCCACCCCGACCTGCAGGGAAGAGGTGAAGGGGCCGTTCATCCTGCTAGTGAGGGTGGGATGTGTGAAGCCACAGCGCCACAGTCTAGCCTGCCAGACGGTGCGTCCTCCAGGGCTGTCATTCTGAGCGAGCCCTTCACACAGCTGGATGGCTCTGGCCATGCTCAGAGGACAACTAAGGACTTTGAAAGGGGTCTGGATGGCACAAGCCATTTGCGATTGGCTGCTCGCCCCAAGCTTGGCCGTTCTCATCCACTCTCTGGTGACGCAGGAGAAAGGTCTGGTGATCTGCTTCTGGAGAGAAGACGGCCAAGGCCTCTCACATGACCCTGCTCTGTGGCACATGGGGTTGTTCCATGCCGTCCAGTCGGAGCTGACCCACAGCTGACCCTCCAGCAGTTGAGCCCTTGGGAAGTGGTTGCCCATCTTCCTCGTGGAGCAGCTGGTGGACTTGAACTGTAGGCCTTTGAATTCGCAGCACAGCTCCTTACTGCTGGGCCGCCAGAGCACCGTGGGATGGCCACGAATCAGGATCAACGCCATGGGACAGCTTTGGGTTGGGCTGAACTTTCGAGTACGAGGCTCACCCTCCTTGTGAAACGACTGTCCTTCAGCAATCATGCCATCCCACTAATTAAGGAGCCTGGTACCACAGCGTGTAATATGTTGGGCTGCTAACAGAAAGGTTGGCAGTTCAAATTGCCCATCCATCCTGAGAGAGAGAGATGGGCTATCTCCTCTTGGGAAGACGTGGCCTGGCAAATCCAGTGAACAGTCGCTACAAGCTGACACCGACGCAACAGTGGAACGTGGCCCCGAGCATGGGGAGAGAGGAGCTCTGAGGGCCAAAGACAGCTGAGAAGTGAGCTGGCCCCTCCGAGGACAGCCGGAGACAGACCAGCATCACGTCACTGCTGCGTGGCTCAGCCTTGGGAAGAATCCGTCCTGTGAACGAGGCCCCTAGGGGGTGTCACACTGGCAGGTGTTAGGGGGCCTGAGTGTGGGGGCTCAGCCGGGCCTCAGCATCGACAGCTCTCTATGCCTAGGGGAGGTAAGACATGTCCAGTCCAGAGGCCTGCACCTGAGCTGCGGGGGAGGGGGCTTCAGGAGCGCACGTGACCAGCAGCACCTGGCAGCTGAGCTGAACCAGCCTCTGCTTGCGGCGCACTGCCTGGTCCAGGACCAGGTACACAGCTGGCGCTTACTAAGTGGGCCAGGCAACAACCTGCAGGCTGGGTGGGACTATCGGTGCCCGGCAAGGCCCCTGCAGGCTCTCTTCACCCCTCCAGCCTCAGGCACTGGAACCCACACTGATTTTCAGGTGATTTTGGAGCGAGTTATGGGACCCTGTGAGGGTGTGATCACAATTAGATGGGAGAATGGAAAAGATAAAAATAAACCCAAACAGGGACAAGCACCCCTCTGGCTGATGACAGGCCCCGGGAGGGGCCTCCTGGCGGGGGGACTCAGACGCTGAGCTGGGTGCAGGGTGCCTGGCTCTCGGGTAGAGAAGGGGCAGTCCGACGACAGCCGACCACACGTGGGCTCAGCGGTGCCCAGCACCCAGCCAGCCGTCCCTGGCTCTTCTCCATGCGTCCTCCCTCCCTCATTCGCTCTCAGCAGCTCAGCTGCCATCAGGAATATGTGCCCCTGGGGGAACCACGTCACCAAGCAGAAAATCAGGGTCTAATTATTGGAGGACTCCACTGCCGCCCGACAGCTCTGGGCCGACACCCTCGCTGTGCAGGAACAGCTGGGCTTGCAGGAGCCGCACGCTCCAGGTCTAAAAGAGGACCATTTGATCGGTGATGGTGACAAGGGAGGACACTGATACTCAGGGCCACGAGGCAGGCCCGGAGTGTCCAATGGAGGCCCCCTGCAGCGTAAAGCATTGGTGCGTCCCCGGAGGCCAGCGTGGCTGCTGGGCCTGGGGGGCAGTGGGGCAGTCTGTGCTGTGTGCGGGGCAGCTTAACCAGCAGGAACATGCTGTTGACAGCAGCAACGTAGCCGTGGGCGTCCCTGAGCTTCCCGAGCACTCCAGCGGCCCTCTCACCTCAGCTGCTTTACATGTGGGGCTACCCAGGTGAAGTGGTTAGTAAATAAATGATTAATAAATAAGTGATTAGTAAATAAACCCAGTTAATCGCAGGCTATCTTGCTTCTTGGATTGTCCAGGAAGCAGTAGGGGTGGGAGTCTGCAGGCCCGAGGAGACCAGGCAGGGGGGATGCGAGGGTGGAGGCTGGCAGCAGGACATCTTAGTGATTGGGGTAGACACCTGTCCCATCAAACCACCAGTCAGCCTGTTCTAAGACTCTGGCAAGTCATGCGACCACCCCGAATCTCAGTTCCTCATGGACAGGGGGATGGGGGTAGCCTTGCACTGAGGGGCTACTGAGGGGTCCACCAGGACACAAATGCTGCAAAGGGCGGGACTCAGGGAGCGAGAGCTTCAGGGCACAGCTGGCTCCACTCACCGCCACTGCGGCTTCCTTGGGGAGGACATGGCAGTAGCTGCCGAGTGGAGGCCGTTCTGCGTCCAGGAACTGCACCATGGGCCTCAAGGCTCTCAGAAGCAGAAGAGCAGGCCTTTCTTCCGAGGTCCCTCTGGGTGAACCTGCACTGCCACTTTCCTCTGGTGATGGACTTAACCACGTGTGTCCCCACAGCCTCACTCTGGTGTTCAAAGGTCTGGGGTTCATCCCCAGAGGCTCCATCAGTGCCTGGGACAGAGCCTGCCCTCGGGGCCCACCTTTCCATGGTGGTGTCTGCTACTGCTAACGTCACCCGCACCTGAATTGAGAGGACACTCCTAAGCTGACTGTCCAGCAGAGGGCTTCCCGGAGGGCATATCCGAGAAAGAACAACTAGCCAGCTTGAAGGAACCCTAAGCTTTGGAAAACAAAGCAAAAACAGCATCGCTTCCCAAATACCCAAAGCCAACCGTTCTGAATTGGCCAGCAGCCACAGCTGCTCACGAGGACTCTCTCGGAAGAGCCTCCCTGCTCACTTGGACGGTCTGTTCTCACTGGGCAGCTTAGAGAAGGTCTGGCTAGCCTGCAAGTGAGTTCTGGTCCTGCCCTTTGCTCCCGACGAAGGGCTGTGCCAAGCACGTGGCCCCTTTTATGAGCAATCCCTGTCAAAGGCTTCCAAAGGTGAAGAGATTGGGGGATCACCCAGCCTCCCAGGAGAGGAACCCGATTCTCCATTCCCACTCGGCAGCCCTGGGCCAGGTAGATGAGCAGCTCTCAGATTTCAGTCTCTTTCTCAACGCAGACCAGAGCAGTGGGGGCTCTGTGGACGCGTGTGTATGTGTGCATCCATATGCACGAGCGTTGTGTGTGTGCACGCATGTGCACAAGTGTGTATGTGTTCACGCGTGAACATGCATGTAGTGTGTGTACTGCACGAGTGTGTATATGCATGTGTGTGCATTGCACATGTGTGCATGTGTACTTGCAAGAGTGTGTATATGCATATGTGTGTGCATTCACATGTGCACGGGCATGTAAGTGCTCATGTGTGTATGCATGTGCACATGTGTGTATGAATGTGCATGAGTGTTGTGTGCTCATGTATGTACATGTGAATGTGTGCGTGCACATGTGTGTGTGTGCATTCGTGTGTGTTTGCACACGCACGTGCTCCCAGCACACCTCGGGCGACGGAGCTGGGTAAGAGCAACCCATGTTGCTGGATGCCCACTCTGGCTGATGCCATCAGTGTGAGGACAGCGTCCAAGAGTCCACAGAGGACTAAGAGAAGGAAGCTGTGCAGGGCGCTCTGGTTTTATGAGGCAAGGGTCACAGACATCCTGCAAGAGGCTGCTGGGAAAGGGGACATGGAGTTTCCCGACCGGGATGGGGCGGGCAGGACAGCACGGGAGCCTCTGCAGCCCTCCAGTCGTGGTGGACCCTCCAACATCATTCCTCGCCTCTCGTCTCTGGGGACCACCAGTGAGCCCCAGGCCACCTGAGACAAACAAGAGTCTCCATTCCCGAGGCTCTTCCTCTGGAAGAGGAAAGCCCGCCAAAGCGCACGGCCTCTTTCATGAATCAAAAAGGAACACACGTTTCCATCAGCTATGAAAGGAATGGCAAATGACATACAAATGAGATGTCATTAAAGCTAGAAAAGCTAATGGAACCTTCTCCTGATGCAGAAGCAGGGAGAAATCTGGGATCTGAGATTTCTGCTAGAAAGAGACTTGGAACGCCAGCCCCGCCCGGCTCAACCCACCTTGGCCCAGTTTAGCACAAACCAGCATCCCAGGTCAGGACCACTCACCATATCCACAGTCCGGGCACTCCTAGTTCATCCGGGCTACCCCAGCCCCATGCAGCCCAAGCCAGCTCAGTCCAGCCCAGGTCAGCCATCACAATTCAGGTTATCTAAACCCAGGCTAGACCCCTAAGCCATTGGCTGTCCAAGCTCAAGCCAGTGAATGCTCACAGCTCAGTTCAGCTCAGCCCAGCCCAGACATCCCAGTTCAGGTTATCTAAACCCAGGCTAGATCCCTGAGTAGAACCCAGCTCAGCTAGTCAGTCCACTCCAAGTTACCCCAGGCCTGTCCAGTTCATCCCAGGCCCACCTCAACCCAGCTACTCCAGCCTGGCCTCACCCCGCATGCTGAGGCAGAGCTATGCCTGAGAGGGACCCTGAAAGGGACCAGCCCGCTGTGTCCTTGGCCCCAGCTGTCCTCATCTCACACCCCCGCCCCCAGCAGTCTGTGACTCTGGGTGGGCACACAATGGACTGCAAACAATCCTCTGAACTACCCACTGTGGCCCCAGCTGGAGGCTGGGAGGCAGAGTGAGTCTGCAAACAAAAGAAGGGGTGTTTTGATGCCCTTTCACCAACGACCCTGGTGCCCAACAATCAGGCCTGCACTCTCACTTCCGTATGGTGGGGGAGGAGCCTAAGCTCTGGCTCTGTCTTCTCAACTGTGAAATGGGCTGGCTAAGTGGGAGTTGGGGAAGACGCTGATGTTTGATTTCTGTGACAGTCCCCTCAGCTCCTGCTACCCCCCAGACTCCCCCCAAAGTGTGACTGAGCAGTGATAAGAGCAATACTTCTGCTTCTTCTTCAGCATTTCCAGCTTGAAACAGACAAGCCTTTTCTACAGTCACTGCTCCCATCAACGACGTGTTAGCCTCTTGTCTACTGTGAATTCCCCAAGGAAGAGGGAGCGGCCGGAGGGGTGAGGAGGCAGCGCAGGACGCCAAAGTCTCAGGAGGGACGGGGAGGTCACCCGGGCACCTGACCTGTCCTAAGGCCATTGCCTCAGGGACAGTCCACTCAGTGGAGACTTTACCTGCCTTCCCCAGCTGCTCCTTGGGGTTCCTTGGTGGTCCCCACACTGCAGGCTGCCTTTGAGGTCTGGAGTCAAACCTATGGGGCTCCTCATCTGGGGGAGGACCCACTAGGAGAACTGAGAGGTGACCCTCCTCAAAGTCCTCCTGGGACCACACCCCCTGGAGGACCTTTGGTTTGTCCAGTCTCTGGGCCTCCAGATGAGGTGAAAGCTACAAACCAGGGCCAAGCTCCTAGGAGAGTGACTCTGCACAGATGTGAGACCCCAGCCACTCAGACACTTACCCTATTGTCGCCTTCGGGGGCCAGAGGGTCTGTCATCCAGGACCCGAACCTCGAGCCAGACGTCTTGATGGTCACGGGGTCACTGATGCCTGTCAGCTTGCCGCAGGCTGGAAAAGACGCACGTGGCGTGGGGAGGAGGATGTGAGGGCTGCGGCCATCGCTGCCCGCCTGGGATCCCCACCACTGGGTGCTCAGGACAAGACTCAGTGCCAGTCACGGGGTTCTCAAGAAGGGCAGCCCCCCCCAGGCTCCCCTCCCCCCAGCCTCCCTCCCCCAGGACCCCTCCCCCAGGTGCCCTCCCCCAGGACCCGTCCCCAGGCCTGGTGCTGCCCACACTTGACTCCCCCGCTCATGAGCCTTGTATGTGGCCAGACATGGGCCAGGAAGAAGGGGCTATCTCCATGCTGAGCTGGGGTCTCCGGTCTCGAGGGAGGGGTAAGTGGTGTTTCTGACTGGAGCTGAAACACGCAGCTGGGGACACTGACCCATCACAAAGCGTTAGAGTGGACAGGTCTGAAGGGACGGAGCAGCTCTCCCCTCACAGATGGAAGGTGGGGTTGTGATGGACTTGGGGTCACAGGCACCCAGGCAGGTGGAGACTGGACCCACATCTGGCTTAGCCGTGTCCTCCACAGCCCCCACCTCCCCGGTCAGCAGTCACTCAGCACACATGTACCACTCACTCCACCTTCGCCTGCCATATTGTGCCCACTCCCTCCACAGAACAGAGGGTCTCAGCTCCCCTCCGATGGACACCCTCCCCCAGCTCCTCCACACCAGGGCCTAGGCTATTCCGGGGAGCACTGGGGAAGGGTGCCACTCTGCAGGAACAGACTCTAGGGGCCCCTAGCCCTGCACGGTCCACGTGTCCAGTCTCCTCCCTGGTATGTGGCCTCCTGCCTCCCATGATGGACCAAGGAGGCCCAGGGCCCTGCAGCTCCCTTCCCCCACTCATCCCCCACCCACAACCCACTGACACCTTAGCATAAGTCCACAGTCCCTTCCCCCACTCTTCCCCGGCCCCGCCCACTGACATATTAGCATATGTACACAGTGTCGGCAATGTTCAGGGCCAATGGGGGCTTGTTTCCATTGATCCTGGATAATCTTAGAGAGCCTGCGATGGCTGGGGGCAGGGGAAGTGACCAGCCCCATGAGGCCACACCCTCTGCCCTAAGGTGGAGCGTGGAGGGGGAGCCCTGGACACACCTGCCCTGTGCAGAGGAGCCCTCTCGGGGCAGCACCTGGCCACAGGTGGAGCTGGCTCTCTACCTCACCTGAGGTCCAGAACCCGGTGCCAGCACCAAGGCCTGGTGCCCAGATATGAAGATGAAATGCCAGCACTCCCATGCTGTTCCCTTCTTAGGGCCACTGTAGGAAGCCAGCCTCGCCCCACAAAACCCCGGGCAGGCTCCAGGCAGGAGGACTCCAGCAGGGATCATGGAGGGTTCTGACGGCACAGCCACCCCACCTGTCCGCTGCCACCCTCCCTGCATGTCTGCCCTGATCAAGATCAACGTGGAGAAGAGAGAGGGAAGGGGAGAGGGAGCCAGTGGGCTGAACTGTGAGGACGGCGAGAGCACTGTGAGGACGGCGGGCACATGACCCGGGAAACCATCAGAAAGAGCCCTCCACGCTAATGCCCGTCAGGATCTCACAGGGACGCAGGGTGCACTCAGCAGAGGAGAAGCTGGGATGCAGAAACCCCAGCTGGACTGTCCAGTCCCCTCACAGTGGGTCACCCCTCGTGCTGGCGACTAAGGGAGCTGGTGACAGCAGCTGAATTCCTGGGGTGACGATGGGGATGCCAACAGAGACCCAACATCCCAGCAGCACCCATTGGGGCTGTGGGGCCTCACATTCTGGCCTCATGCGACAGACACACTTGTCCCCGGTGCACAGTCCCAATCTTGACCCAGGGGATGACCGGCGGCGGGCTGCCCAGAAGTCCTGAAGCACCGTCTCCGCAGAACAGTTCCACCAGGCCACCTGCTCTGCTCGCTCTGAGCCCATGGTCTCTGCTCAGGATCGAGCTCCAGCTCCTGTCCCACCACCCACCTGTCTCGGCTGGATGACCTCCCAGAAAATGACCTGACAGCTCCCTCCCCCACCACAGGTCGCAGGACAGGCACCCCGGGCAGGGCAGGCACCTGGCCCCGAGCCCAGCTTTTCTACCGCCTCACGTTTTTGTTCAAGCTGCCCCCTCATTCTGAGATGCCACCCCCTTCTGATCTGTGCACTTGTCCTTCCTGACCCCTCAGTGTGACAAGCCCATTCAGGGCGAGAAGCTGTATCTCCTCCCTCCATCCCGCAGAACTCAGCCTAGGGATATGCGGCAGACGCCTGCGTGAACTAATGAATCAACGAATGGCACGCCTTTCTGTCACGGGAATGGGCTCCCGGTTGGTTCTACAGAGGGAAGAACCCTCACCTTCCAGCAAGTTCTCCTCAGTCTATTGCTTCACCTTCTGTTCTAAGGGAGGGGAGGAAGGGGAACATGGTGCCACATCGGGACACCTGTGGCCCACCAGCCACTCACCCCCGACTGTGGTCCCCACTCTGAGCTCCTGGTCTGGGGAAGAGGGGTGAGCACATGTCCACGCCCACCCCAGAGACTCTGCAGTAAGGACAGAACTGTGAAGAAACCCTGGAAGTCTGGCAATGAGGGGTACCGGAAGACAAAGCCATTGACAATACTGTGAACCGAGTCCCAGCGGTGTGGAGCCACCAGCCTTGTGCTGTTGCCCTGGTCCTGTCTCTCTGCCCAGCACTGCCCAGTCCCACTGGCACCGTTCCATACTTCAGAGTCCACCTCAGCACCTGTCAGCCTCACCAGACCCCAAGGAGGCCAGCCCAGCACACAGCAGAACCCTGTCACACCACCAGCTCCACCCCGCATCACTACGCCCCGCCCAGCCGCACCCCACCCACAAGACCTGCTTGATCACAGAGCAGCCCCAGCATCTCCAAGCTCCGGCACCTCACTGCTGGCTTGTGCTGGCAGGGTGGGTGTGGGGGGGGGCGTGTGCTGGAGTGCCCCTGACAACCTCCCTGGGAGAAAACCCGTGTCAGGAGTCAAGTCGGCTCCTCGCCCCAGGCACCTCCGGGTCAGCATCACCATCTCCTAGCCCTTCCCTAAAAGGCGGGTCTAGTCCCACGCTGGGACCTCAGCATCCCTGATTAGAAGGAGAGGAGGAACTAGCGGGCCGCGTGAGCTCCTTCGCCTGGAAAACTGGCCTCCGGCACATTCCCTAGGGCAACTGGGCATTGAATCAGGAGTTATTTTTGGTTCTCTGAGCAGACTGGCTCTGCCCAAGGCCTTGGAGCCAGCAGCCCCGATGGTAGAGAGCAGAGGAATCTTGGCACAGTTATCGGAGAAAGTGCCTCTCCTCACCAGGGCTGGGGGAGCCAGAGGCTGGCCGGCTCTCTGAAGGCTGGGCTCTGGGCACATGAATCAGGTCCAGAGCCAGGGCCAGAGCGGAGTGCCAGGCACCCAACAGGAGCCACACTCTGCCTCTTGTGGTCCTAGAAGGGGGTCATTCCCAAATACAGCCTCCAAACCCACTGCAGGCGTGGATTCCGACTCCTGGCGACCCTCGTCCTGTTACTGGGACTGTGCAGGGGAGGGGCTGCCTCTCCTCCTCCCTCAGAGCACCTGCGTCCAGAGGCTGACCATTTGGTTACTAACCATAAACACAGGAGGTACAGCCTGGTGTCCTCAAACAGGCGTGCTGACCTGGACAGAGGGAAGCCCCACCGAGGAACCCAGGACAGAGACCATAGTGTCTGAGGCAGGCAGGGAGGGAGGGGCACCCCTAAGTCTAGCCATGAGCCCTGGGCCTGCCACCAGCCTGTCCTAGTCAGAGGTCTCATCCGAGCACTAGGGGGGCAGCTGGAGACCTTGCAAAGCACTGACAAGGCCTTTGGGACGACACCCTGAAGACCCCACAGCTCCCCTCACCCCCTCGGCCTCGGGCTCTGCGCCCTTGGGCCTTGACATGCGTTGGCAGAGAGCTTCCTGGATCCAGAGCAAAGGGCACTGTTGTGCCACAAACAAAACAAACCCAAACCCATCTTCACGAAGTCGATTTTGACTAATACCCAGTAGGGCACAACAGGAAGCTCGGGTGGTTCAGTGGTAAGTTACTGTGCCGCCAACACAAAGGTACACAGGGTTCGAATCCACCAGCTGCCTCATGGGAGAAAGATGGGCCATCTCCTCCTGTGCGATTCACTGCTGCTGAAAACCAGCTCAAGGGGCGACTACGGGCCTGTTCTAATTTGATGGCACCCAACAGGGTACGAGAGAATGAACCGTCCGTGAGGCATAGGGAAGCTGACTCCCACATCTTTTTCCCTCCTTATGGTGCAAACTGCCGACCTTTCCGTGAACAGCTGAGGAAAGAGGCCCATAGACCCTTCACCAGGCTTGGGAGGGTCCTCGGGAGGCGCCAGGGGCTAAGGCAGCTGAGCTCCTGGCTGGGCGGTCCCTCCCGTCCCTGCCATGCAGCCGGGCTGGCCACGCCGCCCCCCACGCTGCCACCGCTGTGCTGTGCTCACCTGCCACTTCCGCTACCGACGTGTCCCCACACTGGTGCGGCTCCGCAAGGCCCAAGGAGACACTCAATTAAGCAGCTACAGGACATTAATTTGATCTTTAAGTTGCTGAGCTTCAAAGGAAGCCAGGGAAACAGGAGAGCAGAGCGGCTGCCTGTGTTTTCTATCGTCTGTATTGACCTGTCATCTGTTTACAATCTATCAGTGATCGCCACCATCTGTCTTTGGTCAATCAACCAACCTATCAACTACCTATCCAGAATTTCATTATCTATCTGTTCTATCCGCGCTCTCTTCACTATCGATCATTCATTTAGCAAGTATGCATGTTGCTGTTGTTGATTGCCTTTGAGTCGAGCACGACTCATACAGCGACCCTAAGAACAAAAAGGGCCTGAAGCCCCTCTCCAGCTGTTGACATTTATCAAAGTTCACAGGGTTTCCAGAGTCATGTTATTTAGGAAGTGGATGCCGCCCCTGCTTCCAACAAGGACGTCTAGTCTTTCTATTTATATGTATATTCTTTCTGTCTACTGATCGCCCATCTTCTATCTGTCCACGGACGCCTTGATCTACTGCCTATCATCTGGGGGCTCCTGCGATTTCTTGGTACGGAGAACTGTCCACCCAAAAAGGCACAGTGTTGGAATTCACCAGCTGTTCCACGGCAGAGGAAGGTGCCTAACCTCCTCGCAGGTGACTAACTGCCTCTGAAAACCTGCTGGAGGGTCAACCACGAGTGGGTTCCGACTTGACAGTACATGACGGCTATTATCTAGGGAGCTCTGGTGGCCGAGGGTAGGGAGCGGCACGGCCAAGCCAAGGCCCGTGGTTTGAATATACCAGGCGCTCCTGGGAAGAAAGATGGACAACCTCCTCCTATGCAATTAGAGCCCCTGGTATTGGGAGGTCGACTAGGAGTCGTTTCCACCCTGCTGGCATCTAACAGCATGTATGACCTTCCACATCTACCAGTTACCTGCCTTCTAGTTCCTATCTGTATATTTTCTATATTCTGTTACTCATCACTCAATATCTGTCATCTTTTATCTATCTCCCTACTTATCTATTATCTATTCACTATCATCTATATATTGCCCCTCATTTACCTCTATATTACCTATCCATCCAGTACTATGTATCATTTTCTATTTATTATCTATGTATCTATTATCTATCATCTCTCTATGTAGTCACTATCTCTGACCTATCACCTTCTCTCTATCTCTATCCATCACCCATCGGTCCCTGGTCAGTGAGGAGCCAATGCATCACCAAAGGCAGGCAACACTGGACTGCATGTCACAGACGCAGAGGCTGCAGCTCAAGGTGGTGAATGCCTTAGGAAGGTGCCCGGCCAGCTAGTGGCCCTCGCTCCCTCCACCCTCACTCCTCCTGGGCCAGGCCATGCCAGGCTCTGAAGCCAGAACTCCCCGCCCCACCCCAGAAGTGAGACCACTGCTGGGCTCCCGTGGTAAAGATTCTTGGGGCCTGGAGCTCCCCTGGCCCTCAACACAACCTTGCAGGGGCTCTAGGAAGCCCACAAGGACGAGGACACCCAAGACCCTCAGCTGTGACATCCGCTCACCCAGCTTCTAGAGTCAGAAGCACAGGGGGAAGGGCAGCCTCCTTGGGGGATGGTCCCTCTGGTCCCTCCCCTCGGAAAAGCCCAGAGTCGCTCCCCAGGCGTGACTTTGCTCTGAATTTCCATCTGCTCCCAGGGGCCTGGGGGCTGGGAGGTGGAGGGTTTTGCCCTGCCTTCTCCCTGGGGAAGACTTCACAGGTAGGGACAGCCAACAAATGACCAGCCCCTCCCCAGCCCTAGATTTTCCTGGACCAGGGGAGCAGCCAGGCGGGGTATTTGGACAGCTGTCTTCCACAGCCATGGCTGCTGAGGGCCACTCAGGTGCAGGGAGGGAGGCTGTGCTCGGAGGAGGTGACTGCAGAGCCCAGCGGTTATAAACACCAACACCAGTAACACTCACACAGACCCCCGCACTTCCCAGGGCAGGAGGTGGGAGGAATGGCCCAGCCCAGAGCCTCTAGGATTGTGACCTGCCAGGCCTGGGACCCTCCAGGACTGAGACCCTTTAAACCTAGGGCCCTCCAGGACTCTGGCAGAGGAGACACTTTAGCACCCAGCCCCTTTTGAGACACAACCCCGTCCCCACACTAAGAGTCAGTTCTTCAATCCCCAGCATCTCTGTCTTCTCTTAAACCATCACGCCTTTACCGAACCCGCTAGGCAGTGCCATGGTTCCTGCCAAGACAAGTGTGTACTAGATTAGGCCACGATCCCCAGTGCTGGTGACTGTCTTCCATTCTATGATCTGACATGAGTGTCTTCTGCGTGGCCTGTTGTAACATCTGAATCCCTGCATGTAACGAGGCAGTATTACTGTGGAGACTATCTCGGGCCTGACAGGGGGATGTGACTTCAGTCACCCTTCTTTTACTTGAGTCATACTTTTTATCTTCCAAGAGATAAAAAGAGAGAGAAGTGAGGAGAGAGAGGGACCTCGGTGCCACCTAGGACGGGGAGCTGGGAGCAGAGTGTAGGCCGTGATGATGACCTTCCCCGTCCTAGGGGAAGGTGGACAGCAAGGCCTAGGGAGAGCTGCAGGAAACCCGGGCCCCAGATGCTGAAGGGAGTCCAGGCTTCGTCTTGCACTGATACCCAGAATTCAGACTTGGAAACTGAGAGAATAAGCGTCTGTTTGCTAAAGCCACCCACTGTGGTATTTCTGTTACAGCAGCACCAGAGAACTAAGATGAAATCTGGTGCCAAGAATGGAGTGCTGCTCTAACAGATCTAAATGTGGAAGTGGTTTTGGAACCAGGTTAAGAGTAGAGGCTGGAGGACTAGGTAAAGCCCAGACTACCTGGAAGAGACTGTTGGTGGAATTACAAGCATCAAAGACAATTCCGGCGTACGGATGGGAGGTGGTGAGGGGAGCCCCAGACAGTCCATCACCTAGAGCATGAACATGGCCATGAAGCAGAAGAACAGGATCCGCTGGGGCCAGGAGGGCGGGGGGACCATTCAGAGAGACTAGGAGAATGGGGCCAAGGCCAAGGCTTGATGTGCCAGTGGGCCTGGACGCTGGAATTGAAGCCCAGAACTGAGAGATCTCCACCCAGAATCCAGAAAGCGTGGCCAACCTTGCCCAGATCGTCTTAGAGAATGAAGGACCATTTTCAAGGCCTGACGGCGGATGCGAGCAGCTCTGCTGGGTCTACACTTGCTCGTGCCCCTGTAGCTCCTTCTGTTCCTCCAATTTCCCCATTTGTGACAGAAATGCCTTCCCCGGGCCTGTCCCACCATGGAACACTGGGAACAGGTAACCTGTGGTCTACATGTCACTGTTCACAGATGAAGAGGAATTTGGTCCAAGGACGGAATATGTCTAAAGTTTCACCCACATTTGATTTTGAAAGATGAGATTTTGAACTTGGTTGATTTAAGCTCTTGGAGATGAGCATGATGAAAGTTTTACATGTGGTGAGGACATGAACTCGGGGAGTCCAAAGTTGGGATGTCATGATTGAGCCACATTCCCGCCAGATATGCCTCAATCTGGCTACTCCACGATGGCCTGCGCTGTCTCGTTGTCTCCGTCTGATGTGTGTAAACCCTAACGTGAACACACCAGTGAGGCAGGATTGGTGAGGGGCATAGCTGGAAGGCAATTTCCTAGAGGGTATGACTCAGACCACAGCCCTTGCCAAGTTCCACTCTTTCAGAAGTCATGCTCTTACTCAAGTCATACCTGCTTGAGTCACAACTTTTATGTTACAAAGGATGAAAGAGAGAGAAGCAAGCAGAGAGGATGGGGCCTCACTACCACCAAGGAGGAAGAGCCAGGAGCACAGAGCTTCCTTTGAACCCAGATCCCTACATGACGGAGAACCTCCTAGCCTCAGGGGTAGACAGATGCATGACACATGGATGTCTCCAAGGGATGCTGGACCCACAAGTGTTGAAAGGTGGCAGGACCTTCCGAGCTGACAAAGGAAAAGCCTTCCCGTACAGCAGGTTCCCTGAACTTGAATTTCTAGTCCCCAAGACAGTTAGAGAATATATTTCTATTTGTTAAAGGGTCTACTGTATTTGTTAGGGAGCTCTGGTAGCCTAGTGCTAAGAAGTTGCACTTGTAACCCAAAGATACGCAGTCTGAATCTTTTCCCCTGTGATGTATTACTTCTGAAAACCTGCTGGAGAATCAGCTATGAGTCAGTTCTGACTTGATGGCACACAGCAACGAGTGTATTTGTTACAGCAGCTCTAAGTAACTAAGACACACAGCATTACAGAGAGTATTTAGAAGTGGGTCTTTAGTTTTAAAAAGGTGGCTGAGTCTGTTAATCTCCCCCTTGACCATTCTCTCTCATGAACATAAAAGATTTGTAACAAGAAGAGTGTTTAAAGACATTCAGCCTTGTGGGGTGAGGGTGGGGTCTTTGTATAAGGCATCAGAGCAGTGAGCAGAAATACATGATAACAGCAGTGAGGCCAAGCCTAGCTTTCTCCTGCAGCAAAACCACCCTAAAGGTCACTTGAATTACCCTTCAAGGAAGTCAGTTTGAACTCGGATAAGCTATGCTATAAGGAAAGAAAAAGGTGTTGGAGGAGGGCCAGTTAATCTTTATTAAGAAAACCTGAAAATGTAATTGAGATTGAAAATAGCCTATTTAGACGTGAACTCAGATACTAGTGTGTTAAGATTTGTTGAAGCAATTAACTAGAAAGTCGATGAGGAAAGTGGGCTTTTAATCATGAGTCAGAACCCAAATAGGTCAGCCCACAATAGGGGTCCTTCCTAGAAAAATGAGAAGAAGTGGGGGGCTTCTGTGCTCAGAGGTACCCCCTTGCCTGGTGGGTTGGCGCGGACCCTCACTAGCTGTGGTCATCAAATGCGATGTGAGTGGGGTTTCTTTTCCTTTTGACTAGAACTATGCACGATTTCGTTTCTCAAGCAGCTTCATCAGCCCCCTTTCTCAACACGGAGAGCGCGCGCGCGCGCGCACACACACACGCACACACACACACACACACACACACACACACACACACACGGCGTGGAACATCTGTTAGCACCCTTTTTGCCCCCATTGTCATCCTCGATGTGGTCTGTGCCCAGCACCGGGACAAAGCCTGGAGGATGGGCGTTGGATGGGTACTGCCTACACCTCTCCTCCGCTAAGCTCGAGGTAGCCATGCCCACCAGGCCTGCAGAGCCAGGAGCTCAGCAAGCCAGGCGGGTGCTGTCCAGGCCAGCACCGCTCCCTAAGCTGCCCGCGTGCGGAGGAGCGGGCCCGCCCGCAGGGTTCGGGGCCTACCTAGTTTTTGCATGCATGCACGGAGCCTCTCTTCAAGATTGGACACTCTGCTCTGCAGCTCATCGTAGTCATAGGCGCCAATTTCCTCTTGCAGCTCGTTTAGCAATGACGTCAGATTCTGGACCTCCTCTTTAAACTGCAATACCAATTTGGCATCGGCCTTGTACTCTTCCAACACAGGGATCAAAGGCCTAAGTTCATCCATTTTCGCTTTTATCGCCTGCAAGGTTAAAATAAGCTGGGTTCAGTGCGATGCGTGCAAAAACTCCTAACACCCTGCCTTGGCCTGGCCTCTCCCCGCTCGAGCGAGAACGTGCGCTCTGCAGCTTTAGTTACGGGTTTATTTACGCTGGTCCAAATGAATTAGAAAGAACATAGGAATCAGTCTTCAGAACACCAACATATTTGGGAAAGGTCTTTATTGTCAATTCAGAATGCAACATCTGAAGGTTACATGCTTTTGGTCACATACACAAAGTTCTTTTTTTTTTCCTTTTTCAAAAATTGCATTGACAAGGGTCCAAACTATTGGTGAAATGCATCTACAGTCGCATGCAAAGAAGGATCCTGGTTGTGTTCAAGGTTCCTTAGTGATATGGTGCTAAGTATTTGGAAAATAATTGTAAAAATGCATGGTGCAAAAAGCTCTCTGGCTCTCTTTCATGGTTACATGGGAGTGGACTGCTTCTTCAGTCACTGCAGCATTGAAAAAAGTCTGTTAAGTTAGCCCTGCAAGCAAGAAAATGAAATGCTGTTGAAGAGCTAGCTCACTGGCCTGCCTGGAACAGATAGCCATTAATAGACAAATACTTTCACGGTCACTTCAAAAAAAACACAAACCAACAAAAACCGAAAGAACAAAAAGCACACTTTGATGGTGGAGTTAGCGGAAACAAACTGCTTCAGTGGTGATTTAGGCTCCCTGGCGGGGAGGTCTGCTAAAATTCTGTGAGGCAATTTAAGCAGGGTAAAAGGTAAGAGGGTTCTCTGCCCCAGAGCATCCAGCCCCCGGTCATGGAACTCTGCCAGATGCTTGTGGGGACACTGACTGCAGGATGGCAGCGGGCCGCCTGCTGCAGACACCCCTGCCTCCCAGGAGCCCGAGTTGGCCGCCTAGAAGCGCCTGGGCCCTCCCAGGGGACGCTGAGCCTCTCCAGCTGAAAGGTCATGATAATTCATGATGGCTGTCAGGGACAAGGACAGACTGTCCACCTGCCTCTGACAAGAGGAACGGGCTCATTTTCCTCGCAAGGAGCGGGCCGCTCTGACATTCCTGACGACAGATTTATAACTTCATTAGCCTGCCATCCCGTCTACCTAATGGACTGCTTTTAACAGAGAATTAGTTTTTGCTGCATGCAGGGAGAGTGCATCGGAGGAAGGGAAGCATTAGGATGAAAAGGACAGAGGCAGAGAGTGTCCATGAGTGGCCGTCTCTCACTTGGGACATGCATGCACACCTTCACTACAGGGTGTACGATTTCTCAAGGTGGTCCAGTTTGAAGCTGAGCAAACTACAGGTGTACATACATATACTGCACAGAACCTCAGGGAGCTCTAGAGAGTTAGATTAAGGAGTTGGGCTGCCAACTCAAAGGTGGGCGGTTCAAATCAACCAGCTGCTCTGGGAGAAAAATGGGCATTTTATAGATTCTGAAAACTTAGCCTATTGGGACTGGCAGCAAAGAATCTAAGTCCATAACCCACCCCCGTGGAGTGGATTCTAATTCACAGTGGCCCTGTAGGGCAGGGCAGAACAGCCCCTTGGGGGTTCTTAGACAGTGGTCTTTATGGACGCAGGCAGCCATAACCTTTCTCCTGAAAAGCAACCGGTGGGTTTGAACCACCCACCCTCTTGGCTAGTTGTTGAGTGTTTTAACCACTGTGCCAGCCGGGCTCCCTTCTGATGTTAGGTAAATGTGATTACATGCCAAACAAAATCCTCACTTAGGTGTCGAGAGGGGCTTGGGACTGCAGGGCACGCAGCCACTATGTGAGGAAGATGCCCACGTCTCTCTGGCATCCCTGGCTACGACAGGCCCTGTCACAGCTAAATTAGGTCGGATTTGAAAAATCACTCTGCATGATCTCTGCTCAGAACTGGCTCTGATCAATTAAGCTAATACTTGGCTAATATGATTTACCTGCAGCAGCTGTGGGAAGACAAAAGCTGCTGATGTCCCTTCCCCAGTTCATATGCCACTTGGCTAGAGGAGCGTGGGACTGGGGTACCAGCTCTCAAGCCAGACAGAGTGGACTGTGGCATCGGAGGTGTGCTGAAAATGGCTAATCTGGAGGGAGGGCAGGGGGCTAACCTCTCCAAGGGCATCAGTTGTCAGCAAGGCATGACCTCTGCTACGTCCTTCTGCAGGAACTCTGGTGGCCTAGTGAGAAGGAACTGTGCTGCAAACCCAAAAGCATGTGGTTCGGACCCACCAGCTGCTCCACAGGAGAAAGATGGGCAATCTCTCCCCGTGCCATCTACAACCTCTGAAAACCCGCTGGAGGGTCGGCTATGGGCTGATTCTGACTCACCAGCACATAATAACATCAGTGCCTGTCTGCAGCCACGTCTCTGTTTCTGGGGCAGGGGCCAGGCACGAGGGCACTGCAGCCCAGGCCTGGAGGAGCAGGAGGCTGGTACATACCTTGAACTGCCTGGCCAGATGTTGCTTGTGGCTCTCCTCCACCTGCTTGAACTTGGACTCCAAGCCTTTCATCTGGTTCTCCATCTTCTCCACATACTGTAAGTCCCTCTGGGTCCGCCTGTCCAGTACCTCTATGGACTGAGACATGTTTTGCACCTGTTTAAAAGACCAACAGGTTCAGGGAGGGGCTCGGAAGGTGCCAATGGGGCTGACTGGCCTCCTAATCCGGGCTGCTGACCTTTGCATTACCCAGTGCCCGGGAGCCAGAAGCAGCCCATGCATTATTTACTAGGTAATGGCCAGCATGGTTAAGGCATCAACTCCCCAAACAGAGCAAAGATGGCTGGTAAACATTCCCTCTGCCACCTTCCCGAATGTTCTTATGATAGAAGGTGCAAATGTGGGTGCAAACTAGCTGGGTGCTGCTGTAGGCAAGGGGTGTTGGGTGATCTTAACTTTTCTTTTTGGGGGCGGTGGAGGGGGGGGTATTATTCTGATCCTGGTCCTGTTCTGCAGGAGGAAATCTAGCCAAGAACGCATAAATATCTACGGAGACAAATGGCATTGTTGGGCTGCCGGTACCCCAGTATAAATTCTCTTTCTCCCCAAAGCTCACAGATAGCTCGCTGAGAAGGTTGATTGCTTAAGTGCAGGATGAAGGAACGGGGAGCGGGGAGCGGCTTGGAGCGCGGCAGGCCCAGCTCCCCTCGCCTGTGCCATCCATCACGCCCACGGTATCATAAGTAGATGACTGCTCTGTAAACATGCACATTCAGAACATACAGTCGGGAATCAATCACCCAGCAAATGAAGAATCGCTGTTTTACATCTTTACGGGCAGCTCGGAATTGAGTCTAGCCTCAAGATGGAACTTTAATATTCAACAGGATTCCAGAGAGCTTAAAAGAAAAACAGTTTTAGCACAGCCACCTGCCAATGCATTTTATTATCTGGAAACAGGCTTGCATTCGTGCCAGTGGGTGTGGGGGTCTGGGGGGCAGGCAGCACCGATGGGGTGCCTGCCGCAGCAGCACAGAGCCAGATTCTAATCCAATTACGGGGAAGATGATAGCCTACGTCGGCAAGGATGCATCTCTGATTTTTGCTGAATCTGAAAATCCTCTCCCTTCTAGGAACAAGATGGTCTGGGAGGCAGCTCGGCTTCGGCTGGCCAGTGGTGAGAAGCCACGCGTGTGAGGATTCAGCCTCGCTCTGCAGCCCCCCACCCAGCAAATAACATTACGTTTAAAAAGAGAAGCGGTTTGAAAAAGGAGCAATCAAAGGTGTTCTTGGTAGGAAAGCAGCAAATAGTGCTTCTCTCAGCATTTAAAATGCCTGGAATTTTATGACTTGTTACATGGAAGCAATATCCACAAATTCAGTTTAGAAAATCAAGTTTGTAGAACACAGTATGGGGGTGACTTTTACTTGCTCTGATTGTCTCCCTAGACTGACTGGTGGGAAACTGAGACGCAGCTGCTCCGTTCTGTCTCCTTACACCCTCCAGCCGGCTCATTCTGCTGTTAATGGCCGCACCTCCCCTGAGAAAAGCTGCAAATCTGTTTCTATTCATCCTTCAAGGTCTCGTCCCAAGGCCACCTCCTTCAGGGAGCCTTCCCAGATAAGCTGGGACAGCAGAGACCGCACATCTTTTAGAAGCAACAACATCACTTTGCTAACATCCCCCTCCCCGGCGCCCCCACTCCGCCAGAAGGAACCCAAACACTTGACTCAGGTACCACAGAGAGAGGGGCCTAAGAACACTGCACATCTGTGACCCCTTTGTGCTCAGATCTGTCCCCTGCAGCTATTCGACTAGGAGGAAGGGACTATGCCCCCCAGGACACCTGGCCTTTGGGTTGAGGACCCCCAGGTGGCTGTGGGCTCAGCCTTCTATGGGAGGCTACACCCAGCCAGGAATGGACTCCGTATTCTAGTGGGAGACCACAGGCAGCCACACTGGCCTTCAGCTTCCTTAAAGCAAAGAAAGACCTTTCCTGTAATTCTCCCCTCTGAGAACAAACACTTCCGCTCCAGGTAAAACCCATGCTCAGGTGAGCCCGGGAGTCTTTTCTGGCCCCCGGAGCAGACCACTGAGCAGACCACAGAGCAGAGCACTGAACTGCAGGTGTGTCACTGAAAAGTCAAGTGACACTAGCTCAAGGTCACATCCTTAATGACAGGCAGTCACCTCCCACCTGCCTCAGGAGCACATGCTTGCAGCAGGACACACCTGGCCCTGGAGAATGACCAAGTGCTGGGGCTTGTCCAGCATCCGCTGGGACTCATCGCATCTCATAAGACTCTGAAGTGACGTTACTTTTGAGTCTCGTGGGCCAGGTGAGAACAAGGGTCAGAGAAGTTAGGCGACCAGCTTACTGTCACACTGCTAGTTCTCCTGGAGTCCAAGCTGCTTTAAACTCGGGGCTGGGGACCTTCCCACACAGCCTTGTCCTACCTCCTCCACTTGCCTCTTCGCAGAGGGGGGAGTCTTTAAGTGCAACCCCCAAGCCCAAACTCCTTTGCCAGGCGGGTGACAGCAGCGCCCTGTAGAAAGGCGGGCTCCCAAAGCTGTTGTCTTTACTGACAGACTGCCTCCCGCTCCTCCCACAGACAGGCTAGTTGAGGGGTTCCGACCTTTCGTTTAGCAGGTGAGTGCTCTAACCTCAGCACCAGCAGGGCTCCGCTGGGGGCTGCAGGGAGTCAGCTCTGGGGTAGGGGTGTGGGGGGTGTGGTCAGCTCTGGGGTGGGGTTGGGGGACCTGGGGCTGAGTCTTCAGAAAGCACCCAGGTGCATGGAGGAGGTGTGGCTCCAAGATGTGGAGGGGCCTGGGTGGACTCAGTACCGTAGTGACCCTAAGTCCAGGGATGGAGGCTCCATCAGAGGACCTCTCAGGGTGTCCCCTCAGCCCCCTCACAGGTGAAACAGAAGGAACAAAAGCAGGAAGGTCCAGGAGACAAAGCATGGGGGGGGGAAGTGGGGACACCTGGTGTATGGGGGAGGGGGACACCTGGTATATGGGGGAGGGGCAGTCGGGAATGTGGGCACAAGGTGCATGGGGGAGGAGGGACACCTGGTTTATGGGGGAGGGGCAGCCAGGAATGCAGGCACAAGGTGCATGGGGGAAGGGGGGCCACCTGGTGTATGAGGGAGGGGCAGCCGGGAATACGGGCACAAGGTGCATGGGGGAGGGGCAGTGTGGGCACATGCCACATACATGCATGGGGGAGGGGCACCCACAGAAAGGAAAGCCCCAAAACCCACTGCGAGGAGCTCCAGGAGCTTTCCGGAAGTGTCTTTCAGAGTCTGCCCTTCCTCCCTCTGCGCCCCAGAAGGCTCAGCACCCTGCCTGGCACTACAGCAAGCCCAGAGCCCCCTCCTACCCCCTCCTCTGCAAGCCTGCATAATTAAAGCCTCAATTAGGCTCTGGGCTAGTTTTGTGTTGATGAATGTTTGTGGGATCTGTTAATGCATAGCAGTCTAATTCTTTACTTTACAATCATTTAGTCAAGTGGCCACAGATTGGGGAGGGGCAGAAATGACACTTCTTCAAAGGGGAACATGCTCCTCTAAGCCAGGGAGGTCCCCGTGCCTGGGACCTGACAGGGCAGAGCCTTGGGAGGTGGTGGGACTCGGGGAGTCTCACCGGCCCACCCTGGACAGCTTGGACACTGAGTCCAAGGCCTTGTCCAGGACTGAGCTGAGGATCTGGGGCTAAGTTAGTGCTCAAGAAGTGACCCGCCCTTAGCAGGCGAATGTCCTCCCTGCCCCAGGCTGCTGTCCCTCGGACCACAGAGAACACCCTGACCATTTGAAGGAAGACCCAAACTCGGTCTTCTAGAGTCCTGTATGTGTACACATGTGTGTATGTGTACACGCGTGTGTATGTGTGAGCACGTACTATTTATAAGGATGCATGCATATATGTATGTATGTGATTGTGTACATGCATCTATAGGTGTAGTGAGTGTGCATTTGTGTGAGCATGTGTGTGAATGTGTGGCTGTGTATGTACACATGCATATCTGTGTGGACGGGTAAGTGCACGTGTATGTGTTTGAATGTACATCTATGCATGTCTATGCAGTCAGGTGTATGTGTACATGTGTGACTATATTTATACACAGATACGTGTGTGTATAACTGTATACGGGTGCACAGGCATGTACCTGCACATATGTGTGGGGCGTATGTACATATGTGTATGAATGAGCATATCTGTGACTACGTACACACATGTGAGTGTGGGTGTGCGGGCAGGTGTGACTGCCCTCTCTCCTAGGCTCTGAAGGCTTCGTGCCCCACACATGCGCTCTGTCTCCTTCTCTGAGGGGTCACAGTGGAACAGATGGTCCTCCTCATTCCTCCTCTCCCCTCAGTTATACCTGGGCCCCTAGAATACAGTCCATGGGCTCAACTGTAGATGCTGTTGGGGTGGAGTGGAGGCAGGCAAGGGAATGCTGGGCCACTTAGACCGAATATTCCCTCCGTGATCCCACTAACCCACCGCCTCTCGTGAAGGCTGGATTACACAATGGGCCAGAGCTCCGAGTTGTGCTGTGAAGGCAGGTAGGCCTGCGAGCAAAGCCAGCCGGATCCCAGATGTAACAATCATACAGCCTGGCTTCCCACGCCCAGAAGGCTCTCCCAGTGAGACGCTGGGAGCAGCCCGAGATCCTGGACATAGCTTGTGAGGGACACTTGGAGACATGGCAACAGGGGAGGGGGGCTGCATCCTATCTTGCCACTCCCACTGGCTCCCAAGGGAGCCTGCAGTGCCCAGAAGTTGGGAGTTGTCCTCTCTGCTTGGGCCCCCTGGGGAGCCTCCGTCCTCCCACCCATCAGCCCACCCACTGATCCGTTCTCCCCGTGTCCATCTGCCTCTCCACCCACCCATCCTTCAGGCTCCTCCCTGGCGCCCATGCACCCACGAGCACTCTGAGGAGGACATGCAGGAAGAATGAGGCGTGGAGCTGGGGGGGACCCTCTGCAGTGGGTGCTGAAGCTTCTCCCACCTCCCCTCACTCACCTTCTCCAGCAGTTGCCTCAGCTGTTTTGTGCGGGCATCTCTGGAACACATGGTCTGCTGGGGGGCGACCACTGTGCAGATACACCTGCCCTCGCTGTCCTGGGCAGAGCTGTACACCTGCCAGCTCTCCTCAGGGTTTGTGGGCAGCACCTGGAGGGGGCAGGGGGCAGCAGAGAGGGGAGGGAGAGAAGTGGGGATGGAGAGAGAGTGAGGTCATAAGGCAGTGCAGGGGGCCTGAGCTGCAGCTCACCCCAGGGGAGAAGCAGGAGGAAATGGCCCCAAGATCATCAGGCCACAGGCTTTGACTCGGGCACACAAGGCTGACAGGGTCCCCCGGGGCCAGAAGGGAGACCACACATGAAGCTTGTCATTTTTTTTTCTTAATATAAGTTAGACAGACTCAAGGCATGTCTCAAGTTGGCCTCTGTCCACCTTCCTGTCAGGATGGGGCAGTCAGAGGCGCTGGGCTGGGCAGGGGCCACAGCAGGATCCGGCAGCACACAGAATAGAAATAAGACACCTCCTCCAGTGGGCTGGCGGGGTGCTGGCGCAACCGGGCCGCCCTGCCGCTCCCTGACATTTGGAGAGGGCTCACTCGCTCTTGTGACAGCCCAGAGATGCACGGGCCCCTCAGCAGCCCAGGGAGACTCCTAGGCTGGACATCCCAGCCCACAGACCTTCAGGTGCATTTCACCAACTCGAGTAACCTGCAGTGTAAGGTCAGCCCAGCCCTCAGCCCTGCCCAGAGACCACCACAGCAGAACAGCTATCAGGGCAACTCTGTAGCCAGTCTAGGTGCACTGAAGGAGGGACCAGGGGAGACCCTGCCCTAACTGGCCAGCACAGCCTCTCCCTGTCTCCTCCTTTCCCTTGCTGGCCCGGTCACCTCCCTGCTATTTTTAGCCCCGGGGTGGGGAGGAGAGGCTGGGAGGGGTGAATCCATAGTAGTGATCCACCCAGCTCCATTCAGGGCCTTCTCCGCACAGGATAGCAGGGCCAGCAGCCCTCACAGAGATGTTGGGTGGGTCCTGCAGAAACCACTGCCAAGTGGTCAGGGTCTTGGGAGGGGCTCATGGAGTTCTCGCCCAGCTCTGCTGCGCTGGCAGCAGCAGCGAGGGAGGGGGCAGGGGCGGCAAGCAAGTGTCCTTCACCTCTCCTTCGGCCAGTTAGGCGGCCTGGGCGGCCCCTGCCCCGCACATCTACCCCTGATGGCGGCCGGCTCTGCCGGTGCTCCAGACACCTGCTCAGTCAGCCCTGCCCCAGAAGCGGTGGCCACTCGTTCCTGTCCCCGAGGCCAGCTCCCGGAGGCAGCGTGCGCACAGCAGTGCTTGCTCCTGGGGGCACGCCAAGGCCTTATGCACCCCTCCTCCGCGCAGACCCGGGTGAACCTTCTATGGGGACTTGGAGGAAGGGCGCCTGGGGACTTCAGGAGCCTCGCAAGGGCTCAGCTCCCAGCCCCAGCGCGCGGTCCAGTCCGGGTTTTTACAAAGTGAGGTTAATGCCCAGCCCAGATCAGCCCAGCCCAGGGTCTAGCCACGACTCCACCCCTTACTTGGGGAGTGACCTTGGCCAAGTCCCCAAGCCCCTGCCTCAGTTTCCTAACCTTTATGGTAAATTTTTTACTAGGTACTAGAAACCTGGCGCTAAGGTCCCCTGTGCGGAGCCCAGTTCACCCGGTTGGGGAAGCGGCGCCCTGGGGGGATCACAGTGGAGGAGCAGGGCGCTAGGGGCGTGGGGAAGCAGGGTTAAGAGTGTCCCGGGACCCCTGCCCTTGCTCTCTGCCCACCGTCCGCGACCCCCGGGGCTGGGGTGCCAAAGGAGGAGCGCGGAGCCGGGCGGCGGGCCACTTACGCCGGTGCTGCGGTCCAGCGTCCCGCCGCTGGCCGCAGAGAGCTTGGTGGTGTTGAGGCCCACCAGCGAGGGCAGCGTCTGGGACATCCAGTTGGTGATCATGGCCATGGTGCTCAGCACGACCCCGATCTTGAGCAGCGGCACCGACATCGCGCCTCGCGTCGCTTCCCGGCCCGCGCGGCGCCGGCCCCTGCGCCCGGGGCA